GAGTAGGAGCTATACCTCCACTCCCCCCCAAGTGCCTACATGGCGTATAGTGGTACAGCTTTATTTTACTTTACTTCATAAAAATATACTAATAACAAGTAAATTACTATTGTACATCTAACATTAATAGAATACTCACTACCCTGATAACAGAGGCAGTAAGCACATCTTAAATGCCAGATATCTTCTACCAGACTCCATGGCGCAACAATCATGCTCACCACTGTGGTAACCTGAAATCTCATCTATTAAAACTTTTCTTTTAAACATATGAGAAGATTGCTGGTTACAATTACCTGGATGCAGACATCTATAAGGCCATAAATATTGAACGCTAATTCCATTAGGTCAAACAAAAAGGCAACATGTTCCTGGACAGGTAAGTAGCTGGAAGGGCCACTAGCAAATGAACTCAACATTTCTATCACTGTCAATGCACACTGCCATGTGACAACATGTCGGTCACAGTATGAGAGTCCTTGTACTTTTGCTGTAGTTGCTTCAAAGCTGAACTCAACACGCGAATGTTTCTTCAGTTTTGCACCTAAACAAGAAACAGGGAACAATTTCAGTACTAAATTATATGTATAATACATAAAACTGAGTGAAGGCAGAATCTTGAGCTCAAAGATTAAATTATACAAATCTAATGTTGTGTTACACAGCATAAGTGCAGAAACATCATCAGTATGAGGAGCTTCATATCTTGTACTCTTCACAGAGTATTATTAGGGTGAAAAATCAAGGATAATGCACAATGGATGCAAGCCAGTTTCCTGCACATGTGTAAGGTATGTGCAAACAGAAAGGCAGTCAAAGAAACATTATACCATGTACTGTCAGGAGGATAATACAAACTATGCTTTTAAAATTATTTTAAAATTTTACACAAATCTTAGCCTTCATGTTTTACTTGTCACAGATGAGGAGGTAAGATTTTTTAGTTTATCAAATGGTGGTGGGACATTTAACTGCCTTTGACGTTCAAAGAGTTGAAACAAGCAAAAACTGAAAACAACATAAACTTCAGATCAATACTAAAGTGAATAACCTCTATAACGAAGACTTCTGTCTTCTGGGTTGTTGTGCTGTGTAGTCTGGTCGATGTTAACCAATGTTTCAGACGTCGCAACCCAGAAGAGAGAAATCTTCATACTCACCGCTGTGAAAACCTCAAATCTTACAACCTCTATAACCTTTATATGTACACCTACATAATCAAAAGTAGGTGCTGTCATATTTTAGTAAAATCACTTTCAATATAATGTACCTTCTGAAACATCAATACTGAACTTCTTGCTAAAAAGTCTGCAGAGCTCTTTAGTTATCTTCTTAATAGTATGTCGAGCCTCATCTCTGATTTTTCCAACTCCGTACAATAATACATGACGCTGATTGCAGTCATGGAAGCTACAAGGTTCATCCTGCAAAATCAACTGAAATTAGAGAAACAGATTCCAGAATAAGCTGTGTCAAAAAGATATTCCTACTCATACACAATTTTTTTAATACGATATTCAGTGATGCAAAGAAATTATCTCTGATTGCTAAAAATCAGCTGATGATTGTCCTTCTATCTCTCTGTCCCTGTGACTAGCTCATCCAGAGATCACAACAGATAGGCTTTTCTGTCCTTTTCTACCATTTTTTAGTTGAAGACAGATGAATAATCCAGATTCCGAAACATTGCAATTCTATAATTTTATAATTAGATGATGGGCAAAGTCTAAAACAACAATTTTACATATTATACTGCACCATCATCACAAATCTTCAGACTTCAACTAGAATCCTTCTTTATTTACTTTCATCACACTCTGCAACATGCACAGTAATGCATTCCACAATTGCCTTTTTAATTTTACTGGCATATAGTGAGAACCACGTAAAACCATACCAGTGGCAGAGGAAAGTGTGTAGTATAAAGCAGATGCCTGGACTTCATCTCTCCTGTTTCTGCTCTCTCCACTGGAGTAACAGAAGCCATTGGTGGAGCCACCAATGAGCCAGGAGGCACGCCATCATCTTTAGGAGAATCTGGGGCATCCTACAAAAATTCATAAAAAAATATGGGTCATATAGCTCATATAAACTGTTAATTAGATTATTCTGTCTTAAGATAAGGTCCAGTGTCAGATTTTTGTGAAAACAGTAATGAAAATTCAGGTTCTGTGAAAAGAAGGGACTTCACTGAATGAGTATCAGCTTCTTACAAAAGACTCTGCTTCATGAATTTGGTTAGTTAGTAAACAAAATAGACAACTTCTTCTGTTGTTTATTATTCTTTCCCTCTTAATATAAACTATTTATTAATTTTTCTGATAATAAAAAATATATGTATATCACGCTATCAAAAACTGGTAAATTAGGGAATCTGAAGAAGTGTTACTGAACCACTGTAAGTCCTGCAGCTGTGCAACACAATTATATGTTATAGGAATTATATGTACATTCAAGACATATACCATTAAGTGTTTATTCAAGAATTACTTTTGTATCCTGTAACTGAAAAAGAATTAAGAACAGAAAGTAAAATAAAAATAGTAATACTTCATTTTAGTGGAGCAGACTATCGATCACAGCGAAGTTTCTTTGCAAATACCAAAATAAAACAAGCTTTTTCTTTTGTGACAGTTGTGTTGTCTTTATTACATTGAACTCTTCAAATTAAGGGCAAAGGACTGCACTGTCGTGATTTACAGAACGTATACACAAGCCTAAAATAATCTTACCAACGAATTTTGCTGCTCCTCCTTGATATGCTGCAACAGTTTGTCCAAGTCATCATCAATCTTACTGTCATCATAATCCATGTTCCGACCATGATCCTGCAAAAAAAAGTTAAATTCTCATGTAAGAAACATTATGAAGATTTCTGTCTTCTGGGTTGTTGCGCTGTGTAGTCTGGTCGATGTTTACCAACGTTTCGGAGGTCATACTGCCTCCGCCATCAGGGCTGAGATGTTCCTTAAAATGGTGAATTTTAACCAACAGTTGATGTCACATCACAGCCCTGATGATAGGGACAGAGATGGTCTATCAAAAAATGATTTCTAACAAACTGACAAAGTTTATGGCCCAAGAAGATTTTATTGATGTATAATTTTTTTACTACAGTGCAGACATCCACCCTTGATCTTCAAATCTCATCATCAATGTAAGCCCTGAATTTAAAATCCCAACAGTGAATATGTTAATATTACATATTAAATGAACCTGTAACTGTATGCCAAATGTTTCCTTTGTTCAGATAACAAAAATAACAACCTGAACATCCAACTTGCTAGGTTTCAGATCAATTCCAGGAAACAAGGATCCGTCATCATCTTGTATGCCAGAGTTGTTGACCGTTCCCCTGCTCTCAGCTGGAGTGGCAGGTTTGTTGCTGGTTGGATGATGAGAGCTGGCCATAGTTGGTCCACCCGTGTTAAGATCTCCACGAGAGATAAGCGTGCACATGTACACGTCATGAGAAAATATGTCATGGCGTATCAGTTCAGAGAAAAGGTGTACCAGGTTTGTAAACATGGCACGGTTCTGTGCACTTGGGTTATCTTCTGCAACAAACAAAAATAATATATGTATACACACACTTGCCAGAATTATAAAAGTACCAAACATCCCTTTATTCTACATCTGTAAACTAAATTAATTCAAATAAACTTTGAACAGAAATATTGTAAAATCTCAAACAATTGGTAAATTTGGCTGTGCACTCAGAAGTTTTGTCAAAATGTTCTGTAAAATGACTGTTATATGCAAAAAGGATCGAGAGGAAGCAAGAAGTTTTGCATAAGTCATAGAGCAGAAAGTTTTAAAATTTGTGGTAAAAGAGTAGGAACACTAGAGTCCACAATGATCATAACTGAAGCATTAAAACATCTAAAGAGATGAGATTTCTTTACGCTACTTGCCTTCCCAGAGCCATGGTGGTTAATCGACAAAGTGGACAAATACTTTCAGACAATTACACACCTACACTAGTTTCAAATAATTTATTTTGAGTTATTCAACTGTTGCTACTCTTAAATTACTTTTTATATAATTTGTATAATGTTATTATTTTTGTTTCTAACATGTTGCTTTTGTACATTTTGAGAAGTTTAATAATAATTACAGCATTCTCACCTAAAACTGGAGCATCATTATCCAGGAATCGCATGAGAAGGGGCTGAAACACAGGAAGTCCAGTTGGTGCCCCATTTCCTGATGAAACAGAGTCCTTTTCATCTGCAGCATCGACTTCCCCAGACATGAGATCACTCTGTCTCTTCTCTAATAACTTTGCAACAGCCATGGCTCGATGTTCACCGGAGCGCTGACTAGACACTGCCCATTCACACAAGATCTGGACAACAGCTTCATCTTGAAGAAGACTCTGTAACATCCTTCGCATTATTTTAACCACTCTGAATCACTGCTTAAACTTATATAAGATGCATGCTGGTTGTACACCATATTCCAGCAATCTAGTTTAATTAATATAGATTTTACTAAAAGTATGTCAAAGTAGTTTGCCATTTAAAGAAAGGTTCAAAGGGTTAATGGTTACCTCACACATCTTAAAAAATTCATAATGGAATTAAAGTTGGCAAAATTATAATTTTATGCATTCAATACTACAGAGTTTTATATATAACAGAACATTCAAGTCCTGGAAATGAAGCTCCTATATAAATACAATGTACTTTGCTAGGACCACCATGTTCATTTCTAAGAGGTGCATAAAGGGGAGTAGAAACTGGTTCCACTTCACTACACTCAGCTCAGCTCTGAATTAAAAACAGTATTCTGAGACAAGAACATTTCATTGAATTGATCTGAAGGCTGAAGGCGAAGGTAAGTCAAAAATAGCAGAGCCTCCATAAAGTTTAATCTGTGATCACACAACTAACAAGCACAGTATACTAGATTCAGTGCAAGCTTATATTCTGTCACAGTATTAGTACATAGTACTATGCGCAAGTGTCATTCTGTTATTTATTTATTTATTTTATTTGTAATGTTCTGTCTGACGACAGGTCCATATGAACAGGATCCTTCCATCCTTTTCTCGGACTGGGACCTGTTCATATACGTTCTTGGCAGATGATCCAGAAGTGGTTTGCCATTGCCTTCTTCTGTGTGTGAATGGAGTAATTGTTGGAATGCCACGGAGGAAAACTCCGTGTTGCCTAGACCACGGCCTTGCCCAACACAAGTTATAAATTCGGGCACCGCCGGGAATCGAACCCGAGACCCCAGGATTACAAGGCCAGCGTTCTAACCGCTAGACCACCGTGGCTCATTCTGTTATATGTTATATAAATACTTCACTGCCAAAAAACAATTATGTCCACGTTTTGAAATACATGGGGAATTTTTTACAAAGATTACAAATGTTCTTTTGCTGATCCTACTTGCAATTCTTAAAATTATGCAGAAACATACATACCTCAAAATCACTGTTAACCTTACTGCTGGAGGAAATGGATCATGAAAATCTGATTTACTTATCTGTATGGATTAATATATTCACAAGCTGAAAGAATTTGCTGCACAACATCCAAACACATTTGAAGAACTTGTCATTATCCATCAATAAGTCACTAAGATGGTAAAATTATCTGCACCTGTAGTAATTTGGCATACATTTTATGTACCCAAAATCAGGGTCTTTGGTTCTACAATTCATAGTACCTGAGAACTTCCTCTTCACTTACAGAGTCTAAATGGGCCTGAAACCACGCGTGAACCGATGCCAGAGCCGAGCTGAGCCAAGATGCGTTGCATGAAGCAGGACCAGTACATGCCCTCATTAAGACATGTTCTGGCCACTTGCATGTACATTCAAAGTATGATTATAAATACACTTACATAGTCTGCTCTGTTCTCTCTTAACGGGTCTCCACCGCTGGTTCCATTATTTGAAACGGTACTATTACTGCCATTGTTGCTAGTGTTGCTATTATTCCCACAACTGGTACCTGTCAAACTGGATTCTTTGGTTCCAGGAGGTGAGAATATTTTGGCATAGAGTGTATCAAGGGAATTAGTAGCATCCATCCTGTCAAAACTGTGCCTATCCAAAGCATCAAGTGCAGTGAGAACCTAGAACATTTTTGTCAAGATTTTTCACTTAGAATAATAATTATACATAACATGATGATGCTGAAGTATAAGACTGCTTGACAATGTATATTTTAACCTGTAACATTACTGACCTTACTCGTCGTTCGTCCTGCAGATGACTGTTGCCACTTATCACAAGACCAACGTCCTTCAGCCGCTCTACTTCGATTGCGAACATGATCCTCAGCTGCACGCAACTGACGTCTGAAGAGAAGGTGAAGAATTATTTGAGGAAGAAGATAAATTATTAAATTGTCATAACCAATGATTTAAAAATGTAGAACCTTGAACCACACATGTAATTATACACAGTAATTCATAACTGAATGTCTTAACTTCAGGATCTTATTCCTAAGGTCATTCCGTCAGAAATATCACACATACCAAAATCCAGTTCTCAACGATTATGAAGGTCATTCCGTCAGAAATATCACACAAACCAAAATTCAGTTCTCAACAGTTATAGACTTATCATTACCTGAATGTTAAAAAAAAATTAGAATAAGCAATATTTTGGCTCTTGGCCACTCTCTGTCACAATAATACAGCAATTATACACAGTAATTCATAACTGAATGTCTTAACTTCAGGATCTTATTCCTAAGGTCATTCCATCAGAAATATCACACATACCAAAATCCAGTTCTCAACGATTATGGACTTATCATTACCTGAATGTTAAAAAAAAATTAGAATAAGCAATATTTTGGTTCTTGGCCACTCTTTGTCACAATAATACAGCAAACCTACCTAACTGCAGGATTGGTGGCCCTCTGAGGCATTGGAAGTGTTGAGGGCGAGCAAGGCAGATGGTCTAATGGTGAACCATTCAAAACTGATGGTGATTTGCCCTCTCCTACACAATTCCATACAAGGGCTGTTGGGCAATCAAGAGTTATTGCCTGTGGACAATGAAAAATATGGACAATTATCTCAGCGGCTCTCTATCTCTATCTCTCTTAATATTTACTTGTAAAAAGATAACCACAGCCACTTTTAATCTTCCTAGACACTCAAACGACAAACATGTTCAATTATAGAAACTCTCAATACGAAGTTTGTTCTTCCTCACTTTCATCAGTGCATAGGTCACATCATCAGTTCATCTGCCGACATTTATCTCTTTCATACAAAATAATCGGCGCAGGCATGCAGTCACAAACTCAAATTGTGTGTTAAGTTTCTCACCAGAGTACTATCAGGTTAACACAGTGAAGCAAACTCAGAAGAAAATGCAAAATTAAACCAACCTGTAAAATAGCACTCAATCCTAATACCAGATCTCGGTGATGTGGGCAGCTCATATATTCATTAAAAGTCACCATTAATGGGTTAACTGGCACCATCTGTGTTGGTCCTCCTTGTGATAGTACACCACTGTAACAAAACATTACACAAGAAAGTTTGCTCCAGTGACATATGACAGTTCCTAATTCATAGTATTGACCTATCCTACCGCACCCTCCTCAAAAACAGAAGCATAAAGACAGAAAAATGCTGATGTTAAAATTAAGAAATTGTACTTTCAGTGACCTCACAATTCTACACATAAAGACACTTTATCAGGAAACCTGGGATACCTAAGAAGACAATATTAAAATGGATATGAATGAAATAAGACTTAATTCATCAGATTTGGGGTTAGAATTAGTGAAGATGACAATGAACCTTACAATTTATACAAAGACTGGCAATAAAATTAAAAAGTATTCTCATTAAATAAATGTTACATACCAAAAAGAACCACATTTTTGCTTAAAGCTGGCCATGGCAGATGGTAAATAGTGGCAATAAATGCACACTTATGCTCAAAAAAAGCTAAATGTATGTAGCACCAAAATGTAAAACAAAAAATTAAATTTACTGTAAATACATGCATCTAAGAAAACAAGTCAAAGAGACAGGAAAGTAAAATACATTCCATCCAATTGTCCACGCGATATACTTGTCTTCCTATAAAATCCTTAATTATGCACTTGTGTAAGTATTCTTTGCACAGTATTTATGACATATCTGCACGGTCAAAAATCTTTTGATAGTGACATGGTAAACTTACATATTTCCTGGCAAGAGAGGGCTCTGTGGTGAAGCAGATGGTGGCAATGCCGGTGAGGAGGAAAAAGCCATACTGACAGCAGCTGTATCACTAGCCACAGAACACAACTGTGCAAGCTTCTTAGCACAAAAATAAGCTAACTTGCGAGCCAGAAGCTCTGAGTGCACAAACTCATCCAGATATTGCAATGCAAGGGGTAACACGAGCTTCAAAATCCCATCATCTGATGGAGTGGATCGCATCTTATCCAACAGCTCCAATATCCACTGAAGAAATTCCTGCCGTTCAAGGAGACCTTCCTGTGGAATCAAAGTCAATACAAGGGTGCAATATAATAAACACAAATGAAGACACAACAAACAACCAAACAGAAGTAAGCATTTCTTAATCTCTTCCAGCAGGAAGCATTAATGCACAGTCCATACAAGAGTACTTATATACGGTAGATGGATACTTGCTGGTTATCGGGACACAAAACGGGAGAGTCGAATATCTGGACTTGCATTGGACGGAAAACTGCACATGCGTATCAGTATACCCGTATACTCGGTTGTTCATGTGGCGGCATACAAATGATAACAGCGATATTTTTAAAACGATTCTAAAATCTATAAGCAAATTTTGGCCTCCGGCGACAGGTTTTAACAACAATTAACATCTCGTGCATATCCAAATAAAATATAATAATTTGTCATTTATTGAAATAAAATATAATAACTTTCAAGTATATGTCATTTATCCACACACATTAACCTAACCTAACCTAACCTAACCTATTTTTAAAGCGATGTGTCCCGATAACCCACAAGTACCCGGTAGATGTATGTCATCCTGTATTCTTCTTGCAGTCATTTCTGTACATTTGTCTTCTACCAGTAAAGAGTTTCATCTGCAGATACAATCAGATCTTGCAGAATATCATGAGTGATCACTATATTGCCCATGTAGTCTACACCCCTGAATATATTTTTCATACAGACATTATTAAACACTTAAATGCTGATAAAATCCAGCATCAACTAATCTGAATAATAGTCATCACTTGCCTCATAAAGATATTTGGCCAACTGGATACAATACTGCCACTGCCGTTGTGCCAGTTTCTGATCCTCTGTCATGGTAGGTAAAGCTGCACTGGCAGGGGTTTGCGTGGAATTTACAGCTGACGGCTGGATTGTACTACAAGCAGTGCTTGTATTTACACTTGTATTTGTACTCGAACTTCCACTACCAGACGGTACAACTGTGTTTGCTGAAGAACCATTGTTCACTGAAGCTCCGGTAACACTACCACCGCCAGCAGCATTGTTACCACTTGTGGCGCTACTTGTAGTACAAGTGTTATTACCACCTGTACTTCCACTGTTATTTGCAGTGTTTGCAGTCCCACCACTTCCATATCCACTAAAATTTCCTCCAGACTGATGGTAGAAATCCTGAAGCTTGTTAAGTTGGTCCTTCAGAAACTTAATAAGGGTGGCTGTCCATTCTGCAAGGAAATTACACCGAGCTGGTAACACTTACAAAGAGCAACATATTGTTTTATATGGTCTTGAAATACAGCAAATTAACATTTCTAGAATAACTTAAGGAAAACTTAGTTACCAGTTACTTCCTGTAACACAGAATAATGCCCTTACCTTGAGAAGGATCAGACAGTTGACGTTTCTTAATCTTCACTTCAGACACAGCCACTGTGTACGCATAACTCAGCTTTATAAACCATGCTGCTCGTAGCATTGGAACCTGATACTCGCACAGCATAATGAAAATCTCCTCCTTCTTGTTAAAATTAGGAGCCTAATAAAAAATATGATACAATTAAATCTGTGAAATGTGGTGTTACACTGGTATTAGAAATTAAAATATCATGTAAAATTCAAACCAAATATCCACATTGTTGACTTGCTACAAATTAAATTTCAAACAACAATTTTCTGTTCCATTGTTCCAACCATATGGCATTTAATAACTAGAGAATGCCTGAATGGGAATTCATAAAATTTGGTACAGATGTTAAATCACAAGTCACTAACTACTCCAAATTCATAATTCATAATGTCTTACACTGTGTAATACTATAGCAACAGACGCCATTAACTCAAGAGGTGGAATGATGGTGAAGCCATCACCTATGACAAATTGCACAACACTGTTGGTATAGATCTGAACATGTAACCCCAAAATTCGCTAGCCTTACAACTATGTCCACCTTACATCTCAAACCATCATGTGGTTTTACCCAAGTTATATATAATTTTCTACAAGACATGTATAAAGTGCATAAAGATGAGACTGATACATAAATATAATCACTGTGAAAATATAATCACACTGAAAGGTGGATGATAGAATAAATTCTGCTGAGATCAGAACACAGATTTAGCTAAAACGAGATAATTTGCTTTAGGCCTTACCTTTTTTGATAAACTGCTGAGAGGTTTGCTGCCAGCAAGATCTTTAAACCAAGCTTCAATAGCATTCTTTGTCCTTGCTGTAGCTGGCCAGAAGTTGTCTTTGGGGTTTATTTGTTGACGTTTGCGTCCTGTATCTGGCAAAGTATTCAATTCCTCTTTCTTTGTCAGAATTGCATTGAAATAAGCTCCAACCTAAACAACAAAAAAACAGATATTATAAATAATGTTATTTATTTTTAACATGATAACAAAATTAATAAACAGCATTATTCTATAATTATACATACCTTTGAAGCAGTAATATTGCAATTTCTAGCTGTCCCAAATTCATCTGAAAGCTGGGGCACAGTAGTAAACCCATGCTTTACATTTAATGTAGTCAACTCATCCTATAATAATAAAAACTTCTGCACAACCAAAATAGTTATATACAGTAACATAATTTGTACAACATAACAAACACTAAAACACATACATTACAGGCCCTTCCTTCTGTTATTCAGAGAATTCCTGTCTCTTATAATATGAAGCATATAACAGAACTGGGAAATTCAGAAAGGTGTAAGGACTTAGACTGAAAGTTTTGCTGAAGCAAAACTCTCAACAAACGGATATCAATAAAAGGCAGTTCCCTTTTGATATCACAAGATAAGAATGTAAAATCAAATTCATACTGCTGAATACATACTGCCAAAAGCTTATATTTTACATCTATATTACAGTTCAACATAAACATGCATTTCACATACAATAAATAGTGCTGAGACCTACAATCTGTCATGTCTAAACAATAGCTTGACATGATAAGCAGTCAGTATGTTAATAATGAAGCCCGAGATTCCTCTGTTTTTTGTGTGTTAACAACTATTACAATACATGATACTGTGAGACGTTTTCATCATGAAGTAATGGCATACCTCCTTTTGCTTTGGCTCCTGAGGATACACATCTGGAGGACCAAGTCGTGGTCTTTTCAGGGCTCGCTTTTCATAAGAGAACCCCATCATTGTAGCCTAAACAAATTTCTGGCTGGAACTTCTGTTTCAGATAAATCAAGCAACAAATACAGTATTATATTTCATTACAGGGAAGTAAGTATTAACACTTCAGACGACGGTTACTGTCATTTCTTATGTAACATAAAGAAAGTACCTTGCATTCCATATCAATGTTTCTTTCAGTTTAAATTCCCATTCATTTCCTGAAAAACAGGCAGGAAATAACTTCGTTTTCATATATTACGAAAACAACTTTGCAAATACACGTAAAGATGTGTATTTTCTTATATAGTACTGCAGATTATTTCTCTTGCCACTTATTCATAACAGCTTCTTGGTTGAAGTTGAAGGCGACGTTGAACGAGGTTAGAATTATTTGGGTTCCTCTACAATAGTCAAACATACGAAGATGCACTCTTACCAGACGTGGAACTTCTGTTATCAATAGTATTTATAGAGTTGTAATGCCTGCAGTGGAACTTCCAGTTCTTTTAAACTATTGCATGTATAACCTCGTAAAACCAAAGAAAAAACTGACTGAATAATAACATTACACTTTCAACACAATCATCCGTCCTAGGTAGAGTAAGGTGCCTTTGAGTTTAACAAAGATGCTTTCTTCACGTTTTTTGACTATTCACACGAGTAATAATATTCGGTAAAATATCTAAAGACAACGAAACCATTTTACATAGCACTTCACAAGCAGACATCTTGCAACAAAATTCATACAGTGACATCTACAGAACGAAGATAACCTAAAGAATATAGGCGCAGGTCTAACCATGGTCGCTATTATCAATCAGCAACAGTAAGGTGCGAAGAAAACTTAGGGGCATATACACTTAGGGCCCATTTGTGATTTCTAAACGTTTACGGATTCAGAATTATTTTAATCTTATTTTGTATTCCATATTCCCAGACCATTCTGCTACTGCTTATCAATTTTCCTAAAGAATATACCGTTAGGAAGATCAAAAAAAAAATCAACAGGAATTTATATTAATTTAATGGGGAAAAAACATAAATACCCTAATTACAAGCACAGAAAATTTATTATAAGCTAGTAATAAGTTTGATCTGCAAATAAAAGCACAAAAAATTAATTATATATTCCTGTTCCATCATCAGGATGCAAGACAATAGGTCATTTACATCTCTGTAATTTATCAAAGTATTCAGTGTATTATTAAAGAAATATAACAAAATGGTAGGTAATACAAGATTTACTATTTAATATTATATAGACCACTTACCTCCTACTGGTATAGTTACACATGAAGATAAAATAAATGCTCATACAGTAATAAAAAGTTTATTCTCACAGAAATCATAATATTCCACCAAATACAAGAATGTACAAGGTTGCATTATAATAAGGGCCACTTTTGGTCAATATTTTTATTGTACATGTACAGCACATCACTGAAAATGACAACTATTAAGTACAGAAATGTTATAATTTTAATTCTTTACTCTTAAGGCTCTTCCAATTACCATGTCTTTGGTCAACTGCCAAGCTATATTAAATAAAGTTTAGTATCCAGGATCAATGGTGACATCTCCAGGGTCAAGGACATATAGAAGAATATCTCCTCCACTCGTCCCATCTTCTTGCTGAACAATTGTTCCATCTGAGAAAATGAACGTATTACCTGTAACATAACAACTGTTTGTGAAATAAAATACTAAGACAAATAACACAATCATCATTTGTGGGTTGGGTAAGTACTAGATTTTCTATCAATCCTGCTTCAACATTTATTGAAAACTTTTATCTCTGTGTGAGCGGAGATAATCCAGTGACAGTTTCGGCACCTATGTGTGTAGGAGAAACAAGATCATCAATGAAAGGCCAGATTCCATGTCTTTATAAAACATATAATTATGAAAGGCACACAGTATTGTCCATCTACATTTAATTCCAGTGCTAGGCCAAATAGTTGAAAGTCACTTTTGTAAGGTGTACTAAAAATATGTACACACATATTCAATGAATGAAATAAAGACATTCTAATAAACTAAACCATTGTATATGTCAGCATTGGCACCTAGTGAATCTAATGTAGGTGTTCAAAATGACCACTGATAACTTCAATGCACAGCTGAATTCTTTAAAGAAGTAAGTATATATTTTTTATCCTCACCTGCTGTTACTTCATCACCCTGGATCTCAGTTTCTACCTGAAGTTCCATTTGGTCACCAACTGCACTCTGATCTACTGGTGTCCCCACTTCAGTATCTGTACTACTAACAGGTACACCTGATACTGTCAGTAGTATTTCTGCTCCTACAAAACAATTTGTGACAGTTTGAAACTCGAGGTTACAAACTTCTTTGTAACCTTTTATACATAGCTTGTGCATAGTACAATCTCTTTACCCAATGATTAATAAACAATAATATGATATCATAAACTCCAAGCCTCATTGTAACCAGATGAACATAAAGAGTTCAGATTAAGGCAACAGTCTCTAAATCTGAGACAGACTGTGCACAAAAAACTAGTGTGACAGTGCAATATCCAAAATTTTGGGAGATAGTTTTGTATCATGAAGTAAAGATGAAGGTTGCAAAGAAGACAGACAAGAAAAAAGATTTGACAGGGAAACTGATATGGAGGTAGTGACAATGCTCCGTCGATACAAAAAGACAACTAATTTTACATTGAGCCAAACCTTGAACTTCAAGGATCATGAATGTTTTTGTATTAATTTTCAAGGACTGTTCCACAGTCTTCATGCTGGAAGTGTTGGAAAACTGTGTTTCAGTTTACCTTTCTACTGGATAGTAAAAAAAAAATTTAAAAACTACATAGGAATTGCAGCCCTAACTATAACAGAATATATATTATTTTTATGAAGACACCTGTACATGCATTTTTGTAAGACAGGCCAGGTACAAAGTGTTAATGACACAGCTTTGAGAATCATATTGGATACTGGGAATGACCCGTTCTTCTAGTGCCTGAGTACTGTGGGTCCCAACTTTTCGTTGGCTTGATCTATACATATTCGGTAGGACTCCTTGGACGAGGGATCGGCCCATCGCAAGGCCTCTACCTGTACTCAGGACAGCACAACACAGAAAAACATCCATGGCTTGAGTGGGATTCGAACCCACGGTCCAAGCGGCACAAGGCCCACACCTCGGACCGCACGGCCACTGCGGACCCCTTGAGAATCATACCATTAGGTAATTATAATTGATATATTGTTACCAACAATGAAATGAACAGTGGTAGCCAGTTAATCCCAGTGAAAATGTCGCTTAACCTAAGAAAATCAAACATACCTTCAACTTGGTTGTCTGTCTGAACCAGGTTGACACTGGAACTGGGATTTATCTGCTGTGAAGTCTGTGCAGCACTGCCATTACTTGATGACTGAGAAAGAGGGCCTGTTAAACTGGCATTCACCAACGTGTTGGCTGGAGAGTCATTGCCACCTGCTTCTAGTTTATCCAGGAAACCTGGGGTTGACCATTCTTGATGGAGTTCACTATGGCGATTTTCAAGATGACGTCGAATTGAATTGCGATGGCGAACAGACATGTTACAATATGGACATACAAATATATGTCCACCATGAAATTTTCTGATGTGACTTTTCAACATATGCTCCTGAAATATAAATATTTTACGTATAAATATAAATAATTAAACACCTTTATAATTGAAACAAAATACTGTTAATTTTGCACACAAAAATACAGCGAGAGTGATCAAACCTCTTCAATACGTGTTAAACTTAAATCTGCACAATTCCATATTTAGCTCTTATGACTGACTACATTCAGATTTAAAGTTATTAAAATTTTTCACACAGACAAAAGACTACTTAAGAGACCTAGGTTTAGATGGGAAAACAGTATTAAAATAAACCTGAAAAAAGTAGGACTGATTTTAACTAGTATGCTTCTATCAACATGGTAATCAACTTACAGCTTCCATAAGAGCAAGAAATTCCTTGATCCTAAGCAATTATGAATTTTTCAGGGAATTTCTACACCATCAAGATGGCTTCTTCTGGGGTGATGTACCATGTAGCCTATCACAGCCTCTTGCTACCCTAACAATACTAAGTAATCTGTATAAATCACAAAGCTCCTAATTATGTAACATACTTGTGTCTCTTTTCTCTCTCTCTCTCTCTTTTAAGTTACACTGAATAGCAGGTCTTACCTTAACAAATCCCTTGTCACAGAGGTGGCACAGGTAAATACGCCCTTGAGTGTGTTCTAACATGTGCTGAGACAGATAGTCCCTTGACGTGAAATTCTTGCTACAATGATCACATGTCAGAATCATTTTGGCATTTGGATTATGCACAACAGCATGCTTTAACAAGTTGCCTTTCTGAAAAAATTTCTGGAAGGGAGAAAAGCATTGGTAACTATGAAGATCACTCAAAACTAAGTTTACAAGGCTTATAATTTGTAAATAAGGCATGTACATATTAAGGAACAATTGCATCATTATTATTATTATATATCATGCCTACTGACAGTCTGAGTGGCAATTCACATTGAAATACATTTTCTGCATTCTTTCAGCAAAGTACCATCACTGTTAAAAATTTAATCAGGAATAGAAGAAGAAAAAACAATTTTTAACTTCCGATTAAATACTATAAAAAATCATCTACATGAAACTGCTTTTTATTAATGAACAACCAACAGCATTATTTTTTTAAGAACCATTTTTAATACTGCTATTCTAACCTTGCCACAGTCCGTACATGAATAACGCCTGAAGCCTGTGTGACGATGCATGTGGACGTCTAAAGATTTCTTTGTCTTCAACTTCTTGTTGCACACAGGGCAAGGTATCTGTGCTTCCTGATGCACTGCATGGTGCTCCTGTAGTACATCTTTACGATGAAATCTCTTATTGCAAATTTCACAGGCAAACTTGCGCTCTCCTGTTGGGAACATAACCTTAATTCACTTATGTGTGTAGCAATTTAACATACATGAAATGAGCACTAATAGGATATACAGTTAAATTCAATATTGTCACTTCTGATATGAGTCAGAGTACAGTGTCTGTGCCAGAATTAGAAAACATGGTGATTCATAACTTTTTAGCCTACACTTGTTCTTTTTTGAAGTAATAGAAACAAGGAGGAAACCCAATTAAGGATCACAGTTATAGAGAACTTGGAGGATCAGTTATTATTGTAGGCTTAAAATGTCATGAGCTCATTTTAGTGTGTTTTTGGAGGACATGTAATGAAAGTCACATGACCCTTAGAAAATAAAAAGAAATGAAAGAAATTTGTGCCAGGTACAAAATATAATTAATTCATTGTAAATATGAAACCATTTACATCATTTTTATTCTATAATAATTATTTTTGTTTATTGCCACTTTGCATGGATGAATACTAGACGTTATGAAAAATTTACATAAATTTGCATCCTAAATTTGTTGACACTTACCATGTAACTGCATATGGGCTTTCAGAATATGAATTGTCTTGTACACTTCTCCACAGACATCACACACCAAGCCTCCTGACTTACTGGTGGTATCAGCACTTTTCTTCTCCTGTGACACCTCTCTAATACCATTTTCATCTCCCCCATTCTCGTATGTTGAAATATTTTTTTCTTCATCCCTGTTGCCAGCAGCTTTCTTCCTCTGTCTTTGCAAATCTCTATTTTCTTCCCTTGCACTACAATTATGAGAAGAATAATTTTCCTGTCAAAAATATAAAAGTAACACTTAATGCTGACAAGAACAGAAACTGAAACCTGCATTTACAATTTTAATAATAATATAACCAATCAGAATCTTAATTAAGTAAAATCTTAGGTTCTCACATGGTGAGCATTTTCCTGTCACTTTTTCGTTACACTTTTTCCTGTCACTTTTTCGTAACACTTTTTTGCGGAATGACACTGACCCTTCCATGTAGACGTATTTACGTCAAAAAATAGTGGTATGATAAAACAGGGAACATTTCAGACTGCAAACTGTCTAAAGCACAGAGATCAGACATAAATTTAAAACTTTGTGAAAATTTTCATTAATTCTTTCTGTATCAAATGTACAATTACATAAAAAATCTTAAAGAATAATAATGGAAAAGAATCAAAAGTAAATAAATCTTCTGAAGATCCTCTAACTCTCATACAACAAATTTAAACACCTCTGTTCACTGAATTTTGATCAAGGGAAGTTTGACTGCAATTTTACAGATACTGTATTAAATCAAATTACATAGAGCAGACAGGTGAATATAACATTCAGACAAGGAAAAAGAAAAACTTAAAACAAAAGAGAACATATAATTTTAAAATGTAATGGGGATGTGAAAATTATGTGAGGTATACAAAATTCTATGTATGTTAATGCCTACATGTATTTGTTTCCATTATTTCTTTCAGTCTTCAAAAACAGAAGTTTCGATGTGAAGTGACACTTTGCAATTAAACTGACTTACACAGTGGTGGAAGCTCCTACCACATTCATAGCAATGGTATTGTGGCACACCATGGATTACTTGATGCCTTGACAGAGTATGCAGTGAGGAGAACAGCTTCATGCACATCTCACACTTCAACACGCTTTCCGAACAAGTGTGCAAAATCCTCATTGAATCTGTTTTGAATCGTTCACTACACTGCTGGCAGGCATGGGGATATGCGTGCTGATACACATGTTCTCTGTACACAACAAGCTGTGAGAATGCAACATTGCAGTGAGGACACATTGTCTCACCAATGGTCTCCAGCTGTTTTCCCTGAAACAACAAATAGTGTATGTTACTTGTTTGGGATGTAACAAACAAAAATTACATGTTATGGATATTTCTTCAGCGATAAATAGTCATTCAGCATAAGAAACGTCTTGAAGATGGCTGCCTCCTAGGATATTGCACCATGTAGTCTGGTAGAAGTTTAGTGATGTTTCAGAGGTTCTTGCTTCCTCCATCATCAGGGCAAGTATCACCCTGATGATGGAGGCTGTAAATACCTATGAAATGTCTGTAAATTTCTATCAGACTATACACGACAACCCAGAATACATCCATCTTCACACTCACTGATATGAGAATGTAAAATCTCATGGCAGTGAGTAATTATTGACTTCTCAAAATGGACTTTAATAAACAGAGTTAATCACATTAATAATAGTATATTACACAGTTGGATGTCCTTAATTAGGAGACTTAATCAATTATTACATCTGTTCTAAGAGACAGAATGTATTGAACCGATAAGCTTACACGAAGAACAAAAGAGTAATTAAAATTAGAACTATACTGAAGTACTCATTACTTACCCTCATACAGTAGAGTTGATGATTTTGAAGAGCTTCACCAGACTGCAGCTTCTTGCCACAGGTAGTACATGGATGATTCTCTAAGTGAAGAAGCATGTGTTTATTCAAGTAGCTACGTCGAAGAAATTCTCTCTTACATACATGACACTGATATATGGGACTTGGCTTTGTTGAACACCGATGGGAAGTCAAAGTAGTTCTTGATGAATATAATCTCTGGCAGCTGTTGCATTTCCATTCACCTAGCGTAAACAATGTTGGCAATGAGTAAAATATTGTTTGGTTATAAACCATTTGTATGATCCTAAATCAGCAAAGTTATCTCTTCCTTACTACCTTTGACTTTATAAGGCAGTATAAGTTCTACGTGTAATCTAATAATAATGGCTCAAACCTCCGATGCTAAAACACAGTACGATGCGTCTGTTCACACATGTTTTATTGCAAGGCCTGTGATAAAAGTTAATGGCACTTGGAAACACTTAGGAACGAAGGACTTGGTTGTTGAAGATTTCTGTCTTCTGGGTTGTTGCGCTGTGTAGTCTGGTCATCGCCCTGATAACGGAGGCAGTATGACCTCTGAAACGTTGGTTAACAATTAACCCAGAAGACAGAACTCTTCATACTCATTGCCCTAATGACGGAGGCAGTATGACCTCTGAAACGTTGGTAAACATCGACCAGACTACACATCGCAACAACCCAGAAGACAGAACTCTTCATACTCACCGCTGTGAAAACCTCAAATCTTACGATTTAGTCGTTAGTTTCAGTCCCAACAATTGTACAAAAACTCAAAGAGTATCAAGGTTATGGTCCATCCCTAAATTCAATCCAGAATCATCCAAATACAAATTATTACAGAGCTCATCCCTTAACAGCTACATAACCTATTCTGCTATATTTTCACTCCTATTAATAAGATACCAGCATTGAGCACACAAAAACCTGTTTCTCCATTGCATTACTCCTTTCATCTTACCTGTATGTTTCGCCATATGCCGCTTAAAAAGCTTTTTAATAAGAAATTTCTTCTGGCAATAAGGGCAATTAAGAGAAGAGGTGTCTTCATTTACTCTTGAAGTATCAGCAAAACACGAGTGGTTCATAAGACTCTCCTTACGAGCAAATACAGCCAAACATGAGACACATGTAAATTCACCAGTGTGTTTACGCAAGTGGCGATACAAGTAATCGGCCTTGTGAAACTCCTTATTACAAATATCACAGTTATATGGAGGTCCTAGATCCACTGTTTTAGTACTGTCTGCAGGTAATAAAACTGGCCCATCTGCAACAGCATCCAAATCAAAATTGGCTGGTAATGAAATTGCATCCTGTCCTTCAGCATTTTGTACACATTTATCTAAATTCTGGCCATTTGTTGTATCAAAACTTGGTTCTGAAACTAAATCTAGGAATGCAGAAGAAACGTCTCCCTGTTCTACTGACAATCGCAATTCATTTGCTGCAGCAACTGTTTCTATGTCTCCAGTGTTAATTATACAGTCTTCATTATTACTGTTAATCACATCAGTGTTTCCTGCTTGTGTGTTTATAGGTGCACCATCCTCAACCTGATATCCTTCTTCTAAGGAATTATGCATGTTTTCTGTGCAGCTCTTAGAAATCATTTCTTCTGATACATCACTTGTCTGAAATTCTTCAAAGATAGTGTTATGAATCTCAGGTTTATCCATCGTGGATTCAGTTGTTAATGTATTTATTGCTTCATCAATATCAGCAGATTTTGACTGGTCTTCATTGTTCATCATGTTTCTGTTGTGAATGATTGTCACATGTGTGTTTATAATATTTATAATATTTTCTCTATTATTTTTCTGCGGATTAAGAGCAACAACACCGTCTGATCGTGTTTCTTCTTCTGCTTCCTCCATTGATTCAAACTGAGTTGTCATATTAGAGCCTGAAAGCACAAGATCAGTATCCTTTCCTGGCAAGCCATCTTCCGAGAAAACAATTTCCTGTGTTTCAGCTTTACGAATGTTATTTCTATTGTTTTTCTGCAACAATTTGCAATTATCTGTGGCCTCAAGGGCACCATCAGCAAAGCAGCCAGCCGTTTCTGAACCAAACTGTACATGACTGCTGCTTCTGTACGAATCATTAGACTGTAATTGTTCTAGAAACACATTCAAAGCTTCATGTTGTCTCTCTTGCAGCTCACCATCAGTCACAGAATCTGTTAATATTTGTCCTGTGTTTGTAACAAATATTGTCTGAGAACCGGGTTGAGAGAATTGACATGGTAGTTCTCCTGTCAGGTTTGCAATAACAATACTTGTCATTCTGCCACTATGTTCTCCTAGCAAAT